GAGGGTTCTCATGGTGGTGCTGCTGGTGGAGAGGAGACATGGACAGGGCTTGTGTGCTAGTTCAATGAGTGGTGAATTAAAGTGGGAAACAGGACCAATTTGATTTGGTCACCCCCTCTAATTTAAGTCTGAGTCTGTAAAATAATCCTCTCAGGATGATGAGCCAGAGAACGTATAATAATGCCTAGCTAGTCTGATTCAGCTTTTCAGTCCTTAGATAAAAGAAGAAAGATACCAACAATAGGCTCTCCTCTAAAAGAAAGACATTGGAAAGAATCTCTCAGCTGCAAGGCAGATTTTAATTGGAATACGAACCCCTGCACAGCTCAAAGGGAAAACTGTCTGAAAGTTCTGTGCCAAAAAATGAATTTATCCTGACACTACCTAAGTGGATAATGCTGAAAATCTAACTTTGCTTTGACAGGTGCCATTTCCCATTCTGAAATGAGAAATGAGTTAGCTTACAATGTTAGCTCAACTATGTGGCTCAAAAATGGCTCATTTTTATAAAGACTAAAACCTCTGAGGTGCAGAGAACTTTTACCTGAATGTGGACCTACAACTGGTGATAGACAGGGCACCACTTGGGAACTGCAGCTCCGTGCTGTGATCCACAAGAATGACTTTGTGAAAGGGCCTTGCTGAGAGATACCTACTTGTATCACTTCTCTGACTTGCTCTTTTTGGATGGCAGGGCAGTGTAGACAAATCAATTCACCCAACATGTAATAAGGCAAAACATCATATCATAGGAAAAAAGTTGTGAGAGAGGATAGCCTGGACCTAAGAAACAGTTTGTACTCCTGTAACACCCTTTAAAAATGTTCTTTTCTGCCTGAGAACATCCAGCAGCATCAGCTGCCATCTGCCCAAGCTCCTCCATTTCAGCTCAGAGGGCCTATGATCCTGCTGTAGTTGTCAGCCAAACTCCAGCTGTAAAAACAAGCTGGCTTGGACTGATGAACACAAAATATTCCTTCACTGTATACAGATTATATCCTGCATCCCCTTGAAGCCTTCATCTGCAACAGAAACACTGCTTGGCACAACTCTGTGCCCCTGGGGAATGTTAGAACCTATTTTCATGGTTATTTCAATCTATTTTCCTGCCTCCTTGAGTGTTTTCTGTTTAAAAAAGTGGCAGAACAAAACGGGAACATCATCCAAAAGCTGCAGTAGAGTGAGACTTATGTAACTAGAGGTAAGGACTCTGCGTTAGCAGTAGTAATAATCCTGTTGCCTTTCTGTCTTCCATCCAAACCCTTCCAAGTTATTACAAGCGTTAGTGACAAAGTGACACAACAAGCCCTTGAAGTTGCAGCAGACCACAGGGAAACCAAGCTCTGAAACGGACTCCAAGTAAGAGGAAGCCCCACTTAATTATAGGGTCATGCTGCTTTCATTACTCACCCTGAGATCACTAAAGCAAAGCAGAGGACATAACAAACGTACCAGCTTAATGTGCTCTCGTTTCTGGTACTTCTCACTGTAATACTGCTCCTGTCGGAGGTTATTGTTGCTTCTCCTTCAGCTCAACTAGCTTCTGGGTCATTTCAGAGTCAAGTGCAGCTAATTCCTGTTCAATAGTTGAAGAACTGTGGTCTGGGCTGCCCGTTTCAGATCTGCAGAGACAAACAGACACAGACAAGGCCTAAATCACTACCCAGGACACCCATATTTAAACCTTGTTTTTGAGGCAGCTAGATATACATAGCTCCTTCAGCAGCTTCTGAGCACCACCTATCGGACCAGAAGCTGATTTTAGCTCTAGTAAGTCCAATAATGTAATCTTTTAAGGAAAAAACAGTGTTAAGAGATTATTCATGGGATGGCTATTGCTTTTAAACCTCATTTTACTAACTCGTCATGGTGGTGTGAGCCAGACTGAGTATAAATGAGCTATAAATGAAACTGCCAACATTTCCCATAAACAGATGCCCATCAACTTGTTTATCCACTTCTAGACACATAACTTGAACTTCAAAGCTGCACGGAGTCACGCTTAGCAATAAATTTATGAGTGTAGCTTTATATCTACATTTATAAAATGCTTAAACCCGTAGGAACATCCCTTTCATCCCTTTCTTTAGCATATTCTCCCCCCTTCAGGAAATGCCATGCATAGCACTCACAGAGGAAAGCACTCCATGAGCTGCTGCCTTTAGGAGGCAAGTTATTGCCCCAGTGGGGAGTAAACCTCAGAAAGGTAGCACAGAGGAGCAAAGGAAAAATATAATGAGGAAGCTAAAAATCAACACTAAGGAACAGTTTGGGTTGGTTTTTGTTTTCTATTTTTAATTTCTTAAGAGAGAAGGAAAGAGAGATGTAATTGGGAAAGGAGACATGATGACACTAAACTGCTCAAGGGAAAAATAAGCAGCAAAACCAGCCTCACTCTCAGGCCAGCACTAAACCAAACCCAATAAAAACATGGGCAAAAAACCCTTGAAAGGCTGTGTCCCTGCTCTGCTGCTGTGTTTACTGCTGTGCTCAGGTGCTAAAGCAGTTGCCTGGGAAACCTCCGAACAGTGCCTGAGATGGACAAACCAGCAAAGCCTTAAACAGGGAGGGCCAACACTGTGAGAAAAATGAGTTTGCTACTCAGAAATATGCAGAGCTTACAATGCAGAGAACTTGCTACGCTGCTGCCTCTCTCCTCTCTCCTGGGTTCAAGTTTGCTGCTGCTGCTGTCAATTCGAGTTACTTCAACTGAATTAATGTGAAGCTGCTTTCATCGCTCTGAGGAAACAAACCCCAAGGTAGCCTCTTCTTATTTCTTGTGTTTTTATTGTATTTGAATGTTCCTCTAAGAGGTTAAGTGGTGTCAGTGAGATAGGTGAGGATAATTTAACTACAGAGCCACAAGACAGCATTAATGAATATTAATGTCAACATATATGCCATTACATTATACATTTTAAAGCTGACATTTCTCTTGTATCTTTGGGAAGAAGAAATAAGGCCTATTTCTAAATGCTGGTTAAAATAGTAAGACTGTCTTTTTAGGGACACAATCATTAAAGAAACTGCAGAATACCACCAGCAAAACACTTGTGCATCTGTATAAATAAATACCTCAAACTTCCTGTATACACTGGCTTTCCTGAATCTTGACCCAGTTTTAGACAAGGGCATGAAACATGGATTGCATCTGACCACAGACAGCACTTTTTTGTGGCAATCTGACAGAGGGGCTCCTGATGAAGTAGCGATTTACACTTTGCAGTTAAGGCAAATAGCTCCAGAAATAATTTAGAATGATAAAAATTGCCATTTTCCTTGGGATGAAGTATTCTATCAGAATTCTGCTGATTAATATGTACTTGCAAGTTTGAAAATCCCTAAAAATATAGTCCTTGCCTTTTTAAAATTCAACCTCAGATTTTCTAACTTGCAGATTTCTTTGTATCTGCACATAAAACTTCACATCTCTGAAATCACTCTGACAGCTCCATGTAATAGACTGCAGGGTTTTATTGCCTGATACTGATTTATTGTCAGATCCTAACAAAAAAAAACCAAACCCCAACCAAAATCCTTTTTCCTTAAAGATAAGGTTTTTTACTCATTTCATTAAATTTTCTGCTTCAACTTGAATAGAATATGCTAGAGAAAAGAAAGAAACATGACATCGTTTTGTTTGCCACTGTCACACACACTGATGATATAAAACACGGTGGATAAAACATCACTATGTGTGCAGTTGACATCCAGACATTAAGGAAGTTTGTTAAACTCAAGTGTAGAACCCGAAAGCCTGAAAACTGGCAACAGTTAAGGCCAGCTGAACATAGGTATATTATGAGTGTTAAGCTCTTATTAAGCCCAATGACATTCTGTCATCGAGCAAGCATAAAGCTCCTTCCTAGGGCCAAGTTATGGCCTGAATCCCAGTCACATTTAGAGGTACTATTAACAAGGTTGGCAGCCAGAGCGTGCTTGCAGCTTTTATCTCTGATGGTCCCCTACCAAAAAGTTATCAGGTAATTTTATTTAACGTTCATTCAATATCCTCATATTTAAGAACTGCAGCGATATAAACTTTGTGTAGAAGTTAAAGGACTTCTGTGCTTATCTAATTACTTTAAAATCAATTATATTAAAATGAGAATGCTGCACTAATGGCAGAAATAAAAGTTCAATCCACCAGTATCAGACACTGCAGTGTCTGACATACACATGCGTATATGTTTTGCCATATACACAAGAACTGCTCTTTATTAACATATGGTGTCTTGCCATATGAACAAAACAACTGTGGAAAGATTATCAAGTCATAACTGTCATTGCATTTCAAACTGATAATGATAAATACAATTTTCCTTCCTTATTATTACCTGAACAAGCGATATTAAAATCTTATCAGCACACACACAAAGATAGGGAAATGCAAGACTTGGAGACAGACACAGCACAGAAAGCGTGTGCATGCAGAGGCAAAGCCAAGCAATCATTAAGAGATCCCCAAGTGGTCTGATCAATCATAATTTGAACAGTAGGCAAATCTTAATAACTTTCAAGTGTTTCTTTCACCTAATCCTGTATCTGATGCCTTCTACTCTTGCGTGAGTTTTTTCAAGGGCTCTAACTTGGAGACAATGCTCTTCATCTCCAAATTTGGATATCTGTTTTACCCGTAAATAGCATAAAAGAGGACTAAGTTTTGTTCCCGTTTTGACACTTGGGACTCTTCCACCATGAGAAAACATACTTTGGTGGCCCAGAGTAAATGAATTGCTTAATATGGGCAGGACAACCATGTGGGATGGCTGCACAACCTTCTCCTTGCTTGAAAAAGAAACTATCAAGTTATATTATTAAGTGTGGAGCAGAAGTTTCCATGGAACTCCTCCTACAGAAGGTCAGCATGGGAGAAGATGGGGTGCTCTGATGAAACATGCTGCAGTTGACCCAAGCAGGAAACTAAACCCCTTTATCCATACAGGTCTGAGTTGTTTCATGCTGCAGTCTGGTTCCTGAACTGTCCTGGTACACCGGGGATGCCCCCTCTCATACTTTGTGATTAGGCTCACTACGTAACCAGTGCCTGCTGTTGCCAGCACAGCTGAGTCACCTACCCATACCAGTGGTCTAGGGCAAGTCCTAGAACAAATACCATGTGCCCTCATTTACAGGAGAAGAGGTATATAACATGCTGAACAACTTATGTGGCTTCCAGCAGGAGAGCAGCACGCCATGGAGAGTACTGTTCCATACCAAAGGCTCTGACTTGATTTTACCTGGGAATCTTGCTGCTTTTGATTTCCTTCTGTGCTTTAATGTCACCTCCATATTAATTGTCTACTATAAAAGATGACTTGAGTGAAGACCTCCTCTACCAAGAACAGGAACAGTATGTCCAACATACCTTTTCTTACTGTCTCTTTTTGCTGTCTTTTCTAGAACTGATCTCCGTCGCAGGTAGTCATTTTGGATTTCATTATACTTCGCAGTGTGCTCTTTGATAAGGTCAGTGGTTTTCTTGTGATGCCTCTTTACAAGGTCCTTCATTTCCTTGTAATGCTTCTTCTGTAGCTTAACAAAAGACTTCTGTTGTTTTAGCTCCTCAATGGTCTGTGCTTCCACTTCTACAATGATAATAACAAAAACCACTTCAATTTTCTAATAATGGATGATTTCAATCAGAGAACCCAGGAACTGCCATTAGGAGGGATGAAACAAAGCATGCTGCTTTACTGCAGGTCAGTGAAATGTGGGAGCTTAAACTGAGTAGACTTATCTGGACATAAGCTAACCAGACTAGTAATACTGTGACAATTTTAACTGACAGAAGAGTAAGAAGTAAGATAAAAATTTAGAACACCAAGATGTGCAGCAAAGTAAAAACCACGTATTTTCTTTCCTCAAGCCCTTTCAGATGCAAAAGATTCCCATCAGCTCAACATATAAAAACATGACCCTACACAGATCTGAGCACAGATCTCTCTTATACCCACTGTACCAACACTTCAAGTCTCCCTTCTCTCTGGATAGGCCATATAACATGCTGATGCCTAAACTGTCTTCAGAAACATCACTTCAGCTGCCTGCTCTCCTGCCTTGTCCTGGGCACTGGCTGGAGGCATCTGTCCTGGTACAATCACGGCATCTCAGCAGAGACTTCAGTTCTCTCTTGATGGAGATCCTGCATCAGAAGAGTCACAGCCATCTGGTTGCCAGTGCAGCAAAGGATCAGTAGGTCAACTGGTAGTGGTCCAGTACTGTCACTCCAACAACAGCTATGAAGGATGTCCTGCTCTGTGAACCTAGACCACAGCTTGAGCTCAGTGTCTGCTAGTCTGACCTGCACGGGCTCACCACAAAACAGCAATTCAAAATAAACCCCAACCCCCCAAAACAAAACCCCAAAAGGTGAATTCCATGATCTAGGGTCACAGCTCTGGAAAAGCCAGACTGAAGAGCCCTTCCCGGACAACAGACTGTTTGTATGAGGCCAGCAGGTACTCCCACAATTGAGGCCAGCCTCCTTCTCCTGCACGAGGGAGACTGAATAAAAGGCTATCAACACACAGGATTTCATGGATCTTACCTGTTTTCCACACCTAAATATAAGTCTACACAAGATTTGTTCTGACACAGCAGAGTGGCTATAAAATAAATTGAGTTAGGAGATTTGCAATCTAATGTTAAGCTGGAGGACACGACTCCCAGTTGAACAGCAGGGCACTGCCTAACTGACAGGCCACTTTGCTCAAAGTAATGCTCATTTTCAGTTTTGCAGGAACGATGGAAACACTGCGAGGGTAATGAAGATAAAATGGTTTCACTACTATTTGTAATATTCAGAACAAATTTAGCTTCTGTTCTCATAATAGTGCTGGTCTTTTGTCCGCTTTAGATGGTAACGTTGTGCCTGTGAAACTACAATACTGGGATACTTAAAAAAAATTCCCTGTTGGCACCCAATACTGAGCTCATGAAACATGCTCAAACATTTAATAACTTCAAGCTGAGGAAGAAAACATGGTTTGCACATTTTCTATGAGTTACTGCAGTCCCAGTTGCGCAAAGGAATGTCTAAACCAGATGGCCTGTTTCATCAAAAGCCTATTTCTCTTGACAAGAAGGGCAGCATTCATGCAGTGTAAATTGTGTATTTATTACCTGTGAGGACACTCTGAATAAGATCTTCTGTCTTTGCAGGTGCTTTCACCGAACCTAGAGGTAAGACAGATCATTGATGAACAATTCTAATTCTTTTAAGACAACAGCCATTATCGTGCTGCTTGACTGCATGTTAAAACATGGCAGGTGACACAGGACATAACACTGACATGGGCTTTTATTAATCAGTTGTGAAAACTCATCTCTTGAGCAGAAGAACAGCAACATGGAAAACAACACTGATCCTGTGAACCAGCACAAAAAGGGAACCTTCCAACACCCACTTGAGTGTTGTTGTTTTACTTCTCAGGAGGATGTTATTGAGCTCACTCATGTGAGTCATTTAAGCGGTACTAGGCTGATGGTTAGTACAACTGCCCTGTATTAGGCTGACAGTGCAAAATCTATGTGCACAAGATAAATCCAGCTCCTTGGAAGTCAGTTAGATCAAGCCTATGAAGACTGTAGTCACAAAATTATACACACTGTGGTTTAGCAAGCATTTGTTATAGGAGATATGTCAATACCTATCAACATATGTAAGTATCTAAGACTGTATTTTGTGTGTGGATGTAACTGCAGGCATAAATCATGCAGATTTGCAAAAACAATTTTAAGAGTTTCCTGCACTTGCAATAAGCAGCAAAAAAAGCAAATTTTATTGCTGTTAATGAACTTCAGTTCCACCACAAAAGCAACTCTCAAGTAGAAGATAGTTGTATATTTGAAGAAGACTGGCCCTAACAGCATCCAATAATAGAAGGAAAATTTCCACCTATTTTATAAAAAGAAAAAAAGAAACCACCCAAACACAACCCCCCACTTTTTTTTTTAAATGCCAAGCACATGAAAAATTATTATCCAGATTTATCTTGAAAAGACGGGACTGTTTTGCTTTCCCTTTGTTTTCTTACCTGGTGCTGGTTGACTATGGACAACCTGAGTTGCTGGTTTCGGTGTAAGAGAGGCAGTGTAATTGACCCCATTTTCTGCTGGTGTTGGCCTGGGTTCACTGTTAGCTTCTGATGGTGCATCTCCATGGTCAATCTAAAAATACAGAATGATTTCCACTACTCTTCCCAACTAACAAATTCATATTATTTATCTGCAGGTCTAGTTTAGGCTCTTTTAAAAAATGCAATATTCTGTACGTGTTATACGTAAATCATTCTAACAGCAAACAAACAAAAAAGATATCCTTAGGAGCTGTGGTAATCCAGGTGGTCCAGTTTTGCAGGGTAAATTTCAAGAAGAAATAGAGCATGTATTATTCTGAAAGAGTATTTCTCTTTTAAGTGGCTGTAACTCATGGGGGACACCTCTCAGTACAGTACGTATTAGCTGCACCAGATGTGAAATCTGTATTTTATTGAGAAGCATTGTTGTCTGCCATAAAACCTTTCTAGAAATAACGCAGAAGCTGGCTTGAAAACGCTGCTCAAATCCCTGCTGTGAACAAAACATGTACACAAAATTACTTTCACATTTCACAGCTACACACAACACTATCATTATTCACCGTTCCTACAGCACAGAGACATGCTTCTGATTCCCAAGATCTTACATTCTTGGAATTGCACTCCACGGGTAATATGTAAACAGTACCTCCATCCTGCTGCATAAATACATCTGTGGTATCCAAATATTTAAGCATTTTCCACAAGCTTTTCTTTCTCTCCAGTTTCCTAAAGGCTCAGGCTTACAGAGTGCGTTGTACTGTGCATTAAACACCTTATCATTTCCCTTGATTTTAAGCAAGCACCCAGCACTTGACAAAAAGAAGGTCATTCAAAGCCATTCTTATTTTGAAATGGCCAAGCCCTGCTTCCTGCTGTCCCTGCGAGGGGCCAGTTGCCATGGTGTCCCAGGGTGGTTTTGGATTTGTTCCTTCAGCTGCTCCATTTCACTCTTTGATGGTAATCACATTACACACAGAGGCAGGATACCACAGTTGTTGGTTTTTTCCCCTTGATTACTCCACACTTGCGAAGTATCAGCCTGCACTGCATCATCAGAGGCAAAATGCATTTTGATCTAACTGTTTTGTGCTGCTCCTGCTGATTTCCTTCATCTTGACCCTAACAACATACTGTATATTGCAAAAGGACTTCTGTCTCAGCAGCCTGTTTCTACCAAAATTATAGGAGAGAGATACTGCACTCAGAAACATGATGCAATTGAAAACCAATGCCAACAACATCATTTATCTCAAGCAGGAATGACTGCAATAAAATAAGGAAAAGCATGATCTAGCCAAAATTTATGACAGTAGAATGATGTCACTGGCAGAAGATGTAGCTGTGACATAAACATGGTTATCCCCTCAATTCTCCTTAAAATATACTTCTCACAGGATGCAATTCATTAGTTTAATAAAAACAATGCTTGCTATACAGATCATCAACATTTAATAAAAATAAATTAGAATTCCCAGCTTCTGGCAAGTCTGTGCCCCAAAAGTCCCTGCACGGGAAGGTGGGTAGTATCTTCCTTTTTGGGGACTATGCTTCATTGCAGCTTGTTGAGAAACTATTAATAAATACAACCTGTCAGGTTTGGACACAAACCATCTGTTTTCAGAAAGTAAAGCAGAAATGTGAGACAGGATCAGGAAGTGAATGAAGAGTAATTTTCACTACATCAAGCAATCTAATCTCATTAAAAAGCACTTTCTCTTCTCATAATTCACCACACAGAATGCTAAAGTAAACATGATTGTTCCTTGCTGGAGAATATTTCAGGCTGGTTTTCAAACATGATGTAATCCAGCCTTAGGATTTATAGTTTTAATATTCACTGAAATTGGTGTATATTCCACATGTTACCATGTCCTTTGCAAGACAGTATACTTACTAAGTAGAAAGATATGCAGCCATACAGGTCTATTTTTATTTAGACAGAGGAAAGCATCTGCAATGTATTGGGGTTGGGAGATGTCCTCTAAGCAAGTGTAAGCATGACCTCCCTGCATAAGAAGTGTCAAATCAACTGATTTCCATAACTGCAACTTGGTGTAATCATGATGATTTGCAAAAGTATGTCGGAAGTTTCATTTTAAATAGTGGTATCAGCTATGCTAAATGCAGCTGCTCTCCTAGAGATGTTTCTGTTTACCTTCCCTATCAAAATCATCTTATTTAACCAAAGGAGCCAACTGGCTTCATTTGATTTATATCCAGGCACGCAAAACAATAGCTGCTACTTCAACACTGTTTTCTGGGTAGGAACAACAGGTCAGATGCTCTGCTGCTTCCATGTCAGACACACTATCGAGGCAGCAAGGCCTCCTGACTCCCCGACTCTGCAGTGGGAGTTAACACGTAGGCCCAAGAACATCACACCAGTGAAACAGCCAAAATGCATTTCACTCTGGCCAGCTTTGACCAAGGCCCTGCACACTTCTGCTGCTGTGACTGCTGGCGTGAAAACGTTCACGTTAGTTACATCAACTTATTTTAGGCTGTGATTAACTCACTCCAAGGAACATCCTGCAAATTACTATGTCTTATTTCTCCTGTCTGTAAGGGACACCAGGCAGGAAACCTTCACTACCTGTATGCTCATAGAGGTTTACTACGTATTCAGATACCTATAGTTAAGGGTGCAAACCCCATACTTTGAGGTATTACAATGCTTTCATTCTGGAAAAATACCTGTTGTAAGGCCAGGCTGGAAATCCTGGACTGACCAGAAAGCTAAGGGTAGGAATTCATCTGGTGCTCATGACAGGAACATTGCAAACAAGTACAGAAAAGATGCTGTGAATTTTGTCAGTTCTTCAGCATTCTTCATTTGTTATTACACTGATCATTAACACGCAGTGTAAGCTGAAGCCTAAAGAAAGGTTAATTCATTTGTTCAAAACAATTCACTATCAGCTATCTTCTTTGACTATTGTTTCACAAGAAGCCTGGGGAGCTCCTGACAGAGATGCAGTTTGAACTTACAGGTAGCAAAGAAAACCCCTGAGTTCTCCTGTGACAAGCTGCAAGAACCCAGCTCACACAAATAAATGTGTGTGAGGGGAGGGAAGGAGGTGTGGGGAGGTGGAATCTGTGCTAGGAGACAGCACAGCTTAGCACACAAACAGTTATAGAGAGTCAATGTGAACCTCTACGTGGGAAAATTGAATCCAGGTGTGCTTACGTGTACACTTCCGGCAAACACACTTGGGTTTATTTAGCTATATTGCCAGTGAACTACTTGCTGTTATTAACTGATGTGATTCTCCTGGGTCCATGTAAGTGATCAAAACAATCAGCCTGGCTGAGTGATGAAGAAAATGTTGTCATCTCCTAACATGATTCATTACCCAGGATGGACTTCTAGAAACAGAAGGTAACAATGGCACTTAGATTGGCACTTAAAGCAGCAATTTCGTACCTGTCCTTTGCTACCGCACCGAACTGAACACATTTTTAGCAAACCCATCACTACAATCATTGCAGTTTTCTTCTAGAAAGTATTTTTCTGCTACTCCAAAACAAGCTCCTTTATCCTATGAGCTTTCATGAGAGATGGTAGCACCACCTGAGCACTACAATTCATCTTTCCTTCTTCCCATCTGCTTTAGAACATACTCTGTGACAGGATTTTTTTAACTAACAAATAAGCCTGCACAGACCAGGGAAATCTGTACTTTTTCAGAAGTAAAAACGACCTCCAAGGTACTTAAAGGATTATGGTAAAAAAAGACTCTGCTATTAAAATAGAATCTCATGTGTAGAGCGTCCTAGATAAATGTCTAAGATACTATTGAGCATTTCAGAGTGTCCTCATTCAGCCGAACTTGTGACACTGCACAAAGAGTAAATTGTTGGCCACTGAATTGTAATGACTTTCACTCATCTGGTCTGCTTTGGGAATGTATTCTTGGTTACAAAATCTAGTTCAATGATGTTTTGCACATCTGAGAATTGAAGAAGACAGGTACCAGGGCCGAGGGCCGTTCAGGATTATAAAGCATTTCTTCATCTTCACTAGAGACCTGTACCAAGTGCCTTTGGATTCACAGGATGTGCCTAACATCTGACACAAGAGATGTCTGAAAGACAAGGTTGGTATTTTCAAACACTGCAAGAAGACATCCCAGTGACAGTCTGGAACAGAGGCTGAATGTTTGAATGTGCACAGAGTTTACCAGAAACCAAAGCTGAACTACCAGTACTCTCAGTTATGCTCTAAATAATGTCTATGCTTTTGTATGCACCACACCTCCAATTACACAGAAAAATAGGGTTTACAGGTTAATCCGTAAGTAATCCCATATACCCAAACCAGACACCTAACAACTGCAAATGTGACTTCCATAGTTTTCAGCTAAGCTAGGATAGGCCTGAACATTTATTCACTCTGTGGTCTCCTCCCTCTTAATTTCTTTATTAAGATCTATCAAGGGTTGAATCAGTTGACCTCCAGAGTCCCCTTCCCAACTAAACTACTGTATGATTATACTGGGTCTTTTTAGGACATGTTTGCTCACATGGAATGCATAGAGACATCATAGTCTGAGATACATGAGCATTTCTGAACAGAACAACCTTTCCAGGAAAAGAGCCTGAAATTCTGGAAAATTGGTGGTATTTTCAGGAAAAGCTACTAACACAAAGGTGTCTTTTTTGTAAGGGGAACTTCAGCATCACATGGGAAAACCACATACAATGACTTACTACGATTTCATTGACTACATAACAAAGTTGCAAATCAGCACACACAGAATATTTATCTCTCTACCTCTGAGCAGCAACTTGCTCCATGCACAACATGCTGCTGTCAGTGAAACCACACACATAGTGCAATGCTTCTCACTGTAATACACCTTAGTGCCATTCTGGGCAAGATGTTTACAGGTGTTCAAGTAATCAACACATGCAATTCCCAGGGACATTCAATATTTGCCTTTCTAACCAAAGCAGATGCTTTTAAATACTGTAACATAATTTGCAGAGACTCAGAAACCTCCCTTACCTCTTTCTTTACCTCTTCTTCATCTTCCAGAGTCAGTGCAGCCAGTTGCTTAGCTCTCTGCTCCATCAAGTTTACGTATCTGATTGGATTGGATAAGGCCTCGATCACATCTAGAAATAGAGCAAATACTTCAGTTTCAAAGCCCTTATGTCATGGTTCCAGTGCTCCTCAGGTTTTAAGAAAGAGACAGTATTTTACATACAGATCTGCTGCTGATAGGTACTCCTAGGTCCTAGAAAGAGCGGAGGGCAGTACACCATCATGCACAAACACTCTAACAGGAACAGTCTTTGAGTTTGTGCTTGGATCTCAAGGATGTGCATTTTCTGCACCGTGTTTTATGGTGGATTTTCAAAGCTTACAGCATCAGCCCACCAGGATCCTGCTTCACATGAGGCATAGAGGAACATTAGATTTCTTAGAACATCAAACTGGCTATACAGAATACGATTTTTCCCTGAAGATGCCCAGTGTGGTCTGTAAACCTACCCTTGTTTAGAGACAATTCCATAATACAGTGCTCTACACTAAGCATGGCACTTTGCTTAGGAAACAATTACACACTACTGTGTCACGTAAGCAATGTTTCATTTGTGTTTCAATGGCAGATGTCTGGGGTATTTCCTCCTTTAGAGTCATATAAGACCAGCTGAAAATAAGAGCTGGCCTAATCCTAAACCTCAGGCAGGCTGCTGAGAATCAGGCCATCTTCTATGAATGACAAGACATTCTACATCCATCCATGAGACCTCTACATCCATCAGCTGTAGAGGTTTGTACACAGGACTGTTACCCCAATGTGGCAAGTCATCTGCACCACATTCATTTTGTATTTCAATTAACCTTTGTATTTCCCAGTATGAAAATGTCACAGATTTACCTGCATAAGTGTCAGGTACATAGTCTTTGACCTCTATGTACACAAAGAGAGCTGGCAGTGTCAAAGGTTGGTTCCTCTCATTTCTCAAACAGATGTAGTGATAGCCTGCAAAATAAGAAACAACCAGTTCAGAGCATAAACTCTTCCACAGGCATTTCTGATGTAATTGTGTTATCATTTGTTATTTATAGTGTGACTCCAACTGAGCAAGCAACCCTGGGGACTTCGCGTAGGGGAAGATTTACCTGAAGGGTTTCAGAGGTAAGTACAAGGGACTGTTAGAAAGGCATATGAAATTGCAGCTTAAAATCATATTTTCCCTTTATTTTCACATCTGTGAATAATGCTAAAAATTGTCATTTATACAATGATAATGCTAAAAATTATGTCATTTTTGATGCATTCTATTTTATTGCCTTTGACTGTTTTGGGGTATTTTTAGCTCTTATTTAGTTTTCAGAAGTGACCTTTGTAGTACTCAGGAATCTGAACAGCCAAGTAAAACTGAGATGTAATAACCCATCCACAACACAGCATCTCATTTAAAAAACAGACAATGTGGCACTATACCTACAAAGTGTGTGCGTGTGTGAACCCTATTATGTGACCAACTTTAGAAATATAACTGGGGAAAAGAGTATTTTCAGACTATTTTGAAAGCTGGCTGTCTTGTAAGAGTGAGGGCACACATTTCAGTGCAGTTTAGCCAACTTAATGATGGGGCAGCACAGATGGGGCAGCCCCAAACCCTTTCTCCCAGCCACCTACCAGTATCTCCTGCTCTTTCTTTTGTTCTCTGACACTTTTCTGACTGTAGACAGGCTGCTCAGGAAGCTAAAGTCTGGAAAAAGCAACCCTCAGAAACTGCAGTCTTCCATCAACTTAGCTCCCCAAAATGCCTGCCCATACGGTCAGATATATTAATGCCAGTTTAAAGACAGTGATGGAAGTACACAGGTTGGAATGGGACAAAAGAACTTCCAATGAACTCACACAGCATTGCAGTGCTGCAAAGCTGCATCCTCTGCCTTGCAAACTGGTCCTTCTCACACCATGGCTGAAGCTGTTGTTCTAAGGCCTGGCCATGGAGCCACATATACGGGAATCATCGGGATACAAGTCATGAGCAGGATGCACCTATCTGGGGGATCCTCACTTGGCTGATGGGAACAAGTCCCTCCTCAAGTAATGGCTCAATCCTTGCTTTGGGAATAATGGCAATTCTGAGGATTTGTATGACAGCATGATACATTTTTCAATAACGTCTCAAAAAAGAGAGAAATTATGTGTTACAAAGGTTTCTCTCAACCTCCTTCAGTAATTTTTCAGCACATACACACAAACTAGAATTAACATGCTGTAAACTAATGATTGCTGGAGTCAAAATGACAGAGGATAGACCTGTGAGTAAAAGCTCCTGGAAGTCCTTGTATGATTTAACGCCGTGGCCATTGTTCTAAAAAGCACAAGCTTAAAAGCAGCTGCATGATTCAGTGCTCTGCTGAATGGACTCCACGCTGCGGGAAGGGCAAGTGCCATGAAAGGGGACCAGTGGTGTTCACTTTCATCACAAGAGGGAAATCCTTCACATCTCCCTCTCCAATCACCTGTCTTCCTCTGCAGTTTGAGAACAATTATATCCATTAAGCCAGCAGAAAATGCAGCTGGAATAAAAAAGTTGAGAGTCTTCTGCTGCATTGATAAACTGAGTCGGCTCACGATAAAGCTGTGGAGGTTGGCAGAGCTGGCACAACTGAATGGGCAGGGATGTGTGGCCAAGAGAAGGGTAGAGAAAAGGGAAGGAAAAGAAAAAAAAACCCTGGGCATGTGCACTCCCCAACAGCCCCTCCCCTTGGCCAGCCTGTCTGCGCTTCCAGTGAGGCCATGCAGCCCACACCAGCTCAGACAGAAACACTTGGAGCTCTGAGAAGAGCCCTGGCATCACCTGCCCCAAGAGAAGGGACTGGTTTATACATTACCTGAGACCAGGTCTTTAGAAATAATACAGACAACTGACAGATACAGGGACATGTGAGTTTTGTGCTACTGCTGGGGATGACTACATAAGGTAGAAGGTAGATAGAGATACTCTTCCTTTTCCAGTGTGAGTGAAGCTGGGAGCATGTTTATGGCCCATATGCTTGCCCTAATTTAGTTTCCCCCCATCACTGGAAGAGCTGGCACTGAATCTAATGCTTCTCTTGCTCAAAATTCCAGTGTCACTGCATCTTTCTGAAAACACAATTTCTAACATGTCTCTGGCCTGGAAAATAAGGGCTGAGTTTTCACACATGACAATTTTCATTTAAGTGGCCACTAATTATAACAGAAACAATAATATGATTTAGAAGAGAGCAGTAATGATTTTTGTTTGTTTTATTTCACCAATTAAGATGGAAGTAATTTTGGGTTGATTTAAAGCTATTACAGAGATACAACTGCTTGTATATAGGTCAGTCCTTGCATGCATGTAAGAATTACGTTAGAGGAGCATATTTTGCTTTCTTTCCCAGCCATCTCCCATTGCCACAACTATAATATCAAAACTGGCTGCTGCACTCTTTCCTGCAATGGCATTTTTTAGGATAAACCTGTGAGCATGCAGTTATCTACTGGAGACAAGTAAGTGCCAACCATGTCTCTGATGCTTTAATTCTATTGGCTTTCCTGGATCATTACAAATTTAAATGTTTGGTAAAATACGGTGTTTCCCTTTTCAAAGTTGAGAGAAATTACTCAAATCCCCCGTTGCTACAAATCTACACAGTGGCTGATCATTTACAGCACTTGAGATTCTGGTTTGCTGCTTCTTTTCCCTCCCAC